CAGGATGCACCATGTGGAGGTAAGTCTATCGCACACCCCACATTCATATATCATCATTGCTTTTCTGTCAATGACTATTCCCAATCAATCAATAGTAATCAGTTTCATAGTCATTCTTTGTCGGAAATTTGGAATAAATCAATATTATCATGAAAAGCAACAAATTGTACATTTAAGGGTACAAGTGTGGTAGGAAGTGACTATCTTTCCACAAAGGCTGCTTCATTCTAAAGCAGGACGTGGTATGCCGCGTTTCTCTTTGCCGACTCCACAACCATGTTGATGCATTCTTCCTGGTGAGGCTATTAGATTCGCCTACTTTCTATTTCGTTTTAAGACCATGGTTGGTGGGTCACGACATTTATTCTCTTTTAAGGCTAGGTTTTTGTGCTTAAGAAATGAGAGTTTATTTAACCGATCTTATTGAATTATGGAGGTATGCTCTCTCCTTTCAGTTTGTAAAACCACTTTGCTCTTCGTTTTTTGATGCCGAGGCATCCTTACAAGTAGCTACATTATTTACGTATTTCGTCTTGAAGTTGGCTTTTTGCTTCAAACCGGCTCTCACTTTTCCCTACGAATAAGTTAGTGTTTTTTATTAAATCTATAAGACATATAGTGGAATTTCTTCGCGTCTTCATATGCGCACATATCGTGTATTTAAATTCGCCGCGTAAAATAGGTACCTGTCAAGCGTATTCTGATAGGTATTTCGGAAAAAATTCTTGTTGTGATTGTTTTAGGGAAAATTTACTAACCAATCGCATCGCCATCTGCCCCTTTTAGGTGGACAATTTTGACATGTGAAGGGAAATTAGTTAGACTTTGGCAAATAAAACGGTTGCTCACACTGTGTAGGGGTGACCTTTTTTGGCTAAATCTATGCCTAAAAATGTTTTTTTTTCAGGACGGTGTGTCGCAGTTGTCAAAATGCACATATGTCAAGTTGGAAGTATCTGTCCCGGTTTATGCCTATCGGTGAACATTTAGGGAGTGTGTGTGTGTGTGTGTTGGGGTGGGGGGGGGGGGGGGGGGGGGGGGGGGGAGGTGTCAACCGAATTGGTTAATTCTCGTAAGAGTGGGCCCCGGTTACCCTTCCTTTAACCCCAGTTAATAGGCTTTCGACTTGTTCTTTTTTTTCCTAATATGACCGCACACACGGGTAGAGTTGTATTAAGTGTGGGGTCTGCCATAAATATTGAAGAATTTTGAACTAAATTTTTCTAGTCGGTTAGTAGTCTTTTCGTGTATACGAACTTTATTTATTACCTTTAAGTAGGAGCGCTATAATAGAGTCTGAGATTCATTACTCGTCACTTTTTTTTCAAGTAAGATTGCCTTTTAGTCAAAGTATTATTTTGTAGGTTTGACGATTTGTCGCCTGTTAACTAAAAGAAAGCCTAAACTAAGCCATGTCATTTTGTCTTTTTTACTTTAGCCAAAGTTCTATCTGCCTGCACCAACAGACACAGCTTTGTCCGAGGTTTCCTCCTGTCCAACTTGGGCGGCTGCATCTTACAGTGCCTCTCCAAACAATGCACAGTCTCTATTTTCCTCCACGGGTTTTTTGAATCTTGTTCCAACTTCCACTGGTGGTGCTACTGGCAATGGTTTCTCACCAGTGACTGAGGGCCCCTCAAGTATTGTGGCACCACATCCTCTGCGAACCTCCCTTCAGCAACCTATTCCTGCTCGTCCCAATTACATTTTTGGTTCAACGTACAGTTTGATGAGCACTGCTACGCTTATCCCTTCGGCTGCGATCTCTTCGGGTGAAGCGGAGCCTACAAATCGTCGATCTCTAATTCTCTCTAATCCAATATCTCCGTCGCAACTACCTCCGCCACCTCCTTCAACAACCCTTCATCCAGTTTCCCAGGCGCAAGCATCTAGAACTCCTAAAGATGACTGCGAATCACGTCACCTTCATGCGGCTGCAGAACTTATCAACCAAATGCTAGTCGAAGTGAATGACCGTTCAATATGGACTTGGGAAGATATAACCTCCTCGCGGTTCCAACAGGCTACTCTTCTCTCTCTGCGTTCACGGAAATCCCCCATCCTTCTCCTCCGATCAGCCAGATTTTTGGATAAGTTTGTGAAATGTGTCGCTAGTGCATTCGCTGAAGCAGAAGTGGGTGGTAAGTGTGCAGAAGCTAGTGAATGTTTACAGTGTCATCATGGACCGCCTCATCGCCATTGTGAGCTTGAATCGGAGGAAGAGAACTGTCTACAACAACCAACCTGTACTGTCACACGATTCGCTCAAGCAGCATTCAATATGGGTATCACATGTCCGAATCGGCACTATGCCTCTCGATCCTTGCAGATCTACCGGGCACTTGGGGCCCAGGTGGATGAAAAGGCTCTCTCGGAAGTGCTAGTTAGACTGGTGGAATCCGTCTCGGACTTGAATGATGAGGTACAGGGCTACACAATCGAGCTACTTCTCACTCTCGAGGCTGCTGTAGAACATATTCGACTTCGGGGAACAATTCTTTCTGGAGGTTAGATGGTCTTAATTCTCTCCCTTTAATACTTTTATAACGTTGGATTACCATTTCTATGATTCATGTTAACCCGAAGGGTAATAACTATTCGATTTGTTCAACCTCCTTTTGCTCATTCCAAACCATTGATTTTACTTACCAAGTCTTACCTTGCTTAACTTAGAATAATTATTACTATTAACAACTAGATAGCTTCTTACATAGAAAGGCAGATGATCAGATTGAAAATGTATTAAATATCGCTATAAAAGGAACGATGGGGAGATAGGCAAAGTAGAAAGCAAGCCTAATGCTTGCAATTAGAGAGTGAAAACGTAGCAATGGGGCAGAAACGGCTGAAATTACTCCTCACCTATCCCAGGCTCCTTGATTAGATGTGAAGACTTTAGGCGGTTGATATATTCAGTTATTTTTTCTCTTGAGCATGAAAAAGATTATATATCTTGCAAACGTTTTAGGAGGCCAACGAAATAGTACTCTAATCAGATCTTCTGCACCGGAATCACCCATGGCTATCTCTAAACCACCACAAACACCTCCAGTTCATGAGCGTAGACACTCTCGCAGAGGGTCATCTTCTTCACTCTCCAGCCTTTTGATCATCCCGAACGGTGGTGGAAATTCCAGTGGAGGAGCAGCAGTGTTGGGGAATGTTGGAGTTGGCTGTGTAGGTACGCAAGCTTCTCTCCCTCCCATAAAACGCCCTCTTATGCCACCACATGCAGAAGCTATTGGCGAAGAGAATGAGTCTTCGGCGTCGAATACTGCTGTTGGTACTGTCATGGGACCGATGAAACCAACGCCGAGTAAAGACACTATGCCACCTCTGCCACCTAGTGCTACTAGTAAACCCTCGAAATTGACCTCGCTTCCAAGCCTGCCTGTGGAAACTCCACCAGAGACTAAACCGGTTTCTACAAATGGATGTGAAATTAAGTAAGCAGTTAGATATATTTTTGCATGTGCGATCTGATATTTGGGATTTTTGAATAATATGGGTTGTCCACGACTTGATGATTGCACTAATGTTTCATTCTCCCATATCAACTCAGTGTTTCACGAAGTTGGGTTCTTGGTGGATGTACAATTTTTGGACTACACTCAAAATCTCTGAATGTACAGCTAGGTCTTAACTTGACCACATTAAATAATTTAATGGAAAGTTATTAGCTGTTCGGGTTGGTAAAGGGGATGAAGTTAATGCCAGGTAGAGTCTAGTCACACCTATGTCGTCATTATAAATACCGTCCTATGAAGCCAGTGTGCTCATTGGCCAAGTCTGTTTCCTCGGGATCGATGGTCTTTATTTGATGTTATTGTGCTATGGTTGGCCAAACGCATTGGTTAATTCTACTAAGCAAGACTAATTTTAAAATAAGCCTTTCTCTTCCAAGGGGTTCCAAGTTAATTGTTGTGAACATTTTCATTCAATCCACTCACAGAATGCGAAGGCTTATATAAGTGATGCTAATTTACCAAACGACAATAAATCCAAGGTATATTCCTAATCTCAAGATCAAAACCTCTTTCATTTATCTAAGATATTTTAGACTGCAAGACATAAGCTTTATATTTACTTTCATACTTTATTTCTTTAAGATCACGAGCCGAATCAAATAACGCAGTTGAAGATACCTCAATGATCGGTACCTGCCGTTTGTCAGCTGAAGAACAAGCTGATCTTGTGTCTGGTATATTCTGGATTGGTGTTTGTCTTCTTGATTCTGACTATGAATACGAGTATCTAGCTGGAATTCGAATACTCTCTCGGCTTCTTCCCTCTGTTTGCTCAGTACCCCAGTCGTCAATATTCAAAGGCCTTCCAGATTTTCATGAGCATATCCTTAAATTGCATCATCGACTCAAATGGGCTACTGGGAGCTCTGAGGAAGCTGATTTCCCTGGTCTCCTTGGACTCTTGCTGAAGGGATGCTTTTCTTCAACTCTTGTTGATGCCTCATGCCACTTGCTTGCCACTCTCATACCGTTAGTGAAGTCCCCAGTTGTAGATCCTTTTGCCGAAGCTCGACAAAATCGACGAGGTCCTGGATTGAGTGGAACTGCAGCTCGTTCGTTTGGAACTCCCACTTCAAGTTCGAACAGTGGTTCGAACTATCCTGGACCTCTTCCAACCTTGATAATTGCTCTTTTACCTCTTCTTCTGACTGCGTGGGATGAAGATCCTGAAAGCACGCCTTCCTCTATCGCTCCTGAAACCACGGATGGATGTGAGATGTGTGCTGAAGGTACTCCTGGAAATCCTCTTGTGACTCCTTCACTATCCCTGAATTCACCACCTCCCCCTCTCGGTTCTTGGGTTCATCGATCTGTAGTCCAATCAGAGAACGCAGTACCATCACCATCAAGTGGTCACCTCTCCCTTGTTACATTGACAATCATCTCTGGGGCTGCTGCTAAAAAGGCACCTCAAGTGAAACCACGAAATCCTCTATGTGTTCAGGTGGGCCACTGAAATGTCAATTTAAGTTGTATCGCCCCCTTAAATTTAAAATGACTATTGTTTGTTCTTTCGCAGGCTGCAGAGAATCTTGCTGAGTTGGCTGTGCAATTTGACGCTTATCGATTCAATAATCTTGCGGTTGTATTGCGTCTTTATGCTTGTGGAAGTTTCTCAAAAGACGTCAATCAATGGGCTAAATGTGTGACACGTTATCTCATGGATGGATGCTCTAATCTTGGATCGAAAATTCTACCTTACCTGACTGCGGTGATTAATTTTATGGCTTATACTTGTATTTTTAATTTGCAAGGAGGGAATATGCACATTGGTAATGAGAATACAAAAGGGTCAATGTTTTAGAGTGGCTCTTCTTGTCATAATTTTATTGGATTTTTTATGCTTATGTCTTCCAACCTTTTTACTTCTTGCCCAAACAATAGTCCATCTTGGTAGTCAGTTTGTTTGAAACTATTTGTCTAATTACTTGAATAGTGAGCTGATTATTCGTTTGCTATCTTGCTTTGCAGTTTTTAACACTGGGTCCACCGTGTGCTCAACTGCCCTTGTTGCACTTCGCTTATTGGTTCTTCCAATCCGTGGACTTAAGCCAATCGGATATCAGCACTAAAATTCGATCCTTCATTACCTCTACCTCCGAACGGTTTGTCAATGTAGGCTTCTGTTTTTATAACTTGTTTTTTTTTATTAAATTCATATGTAAGGTGCCGAAAAGCTAAAATATACCAATTTCATTCACCTTTCTGATTTCCCAAGTTTAGGATCCAATTTCGCTTGCTGCAGAGATAGATATTTAGTTATCAATAACTAGTGATCAAATTCAAACGTTATTGTCATATGTAGGGCAAAAGTACACTTATTTTACTATTTATGGAAAATTCTAAATATAAATAGCAGTTTTCCCTTCTGTTATGAGTCTAGTACCAATGATCTTATTTTGAAAGAGCACCGTATGGTCCCTTTGGGTGTTTAAGGGTTAAATTAGGCTGTCGGTCAAATTTTCTCGATGCAACTGGTGGACAATATGAACTTACTAGAATTTAATGGGAAAATATGTGCTATCCAATCTCATAGTTAGTCATCGGACGAATGCTAAGAAAGAAGAGTATGCAGATCGTTGATCATAGATCACGCGAATATCTCCAAATTTTCCTATTTTCCATGATTTGGAAATATCTTGTCCATATCTGATTTATTCTATTACCATAGGAAATTTGTTATTACTTGAATCATTTCAATTATGATTGAATAAAATTTCACTATATTGTGACTTGCAATGAAGCGTCTAACCTTTTTTAGACTCCATTATGGCCTGAAGTGACGCTCCTTTACCAAGTGATTGTTGCACGATCTGCGACCTTGACTACAGCTCCAAGTAACCCCGCGGGAGTCTTCAGTCTTCCAGGTTTGGATCCATCAGGTAGCGGACGAGTGTTGGATAGCCTTGCTGCGGCAGCCGCTGCCGCTGTCCCATTGCCTGAAGCCGAGCCTCAGAGAATAGCTCTCGCCGGTCGTGTTTTGGATTTTGACACCTCTATACTAGCCTCCACTCCATTGATAGCTGGTGGAAAGGGTCAAGCCTCGCCACGTCTTGATTGTACAAATTCTGCTGCTGCCGGTGTCGGTGGTATTCAATATCGGTCTTCCACTCGGATGCCACATCTTGCAGAGGGATGCAATGTACCCGTTGGCGCATTCGCTTATACACCATTCTTCTTTCGATTGGGTGCTTGGAAAACACCGTGGAATCGACAGGTTTGCTTCTGGCATAATATGTTGTCTGAACAGTTGCGTGTAGATGTGTATAGGAAATTAACTCGATTTAAGAAGGCATTTCCCATCGTTAATCTTGAATAGAGGGTCAGGATCATAGAGACTATTGAGGCAACATTTATTTATACCTCTCTATTAGCTAGGCTTACCCATCCCGATTAATCGTTCCTCTCACTGGGTTTGGTTCAATGTGCATCAAACCCCTGACTTCTGGCTTTGAAAACGAGTATATTTCTCACGGTAACTGCCCCATTAATGAAAACCCGAGGAGATTTACGATTGAATTGCGATAGGGAAAGTTTACTTGATTGCTTACTTACTATAACATTTCCTCTTCATTTTTAGTCACGCCTCCGGAGCCTATTTACAAACCTCCTAAACTGCTATGGATCTCATTTAGAACACATTACGGCACCCAGAAGTCCTTCTGTAAGTCCTCTTTTATTGTACACTCCTTTATGCACTTACTGTGAGGTATTAGTAATTAAGAGTTAGCAATATTTATATCCAATACCACCATCACCACTATCACTCACTAACAAACATCTCTTCCCCAGACTTCCTCCCGTCAAAAGGTAAGTTGGTTTAGTCTGTCCCTTCCTTGCACTTTCTTCCTCTCCTTCTCCTTCTCTTTCTCTTCCCCTTTTCATTCATCTTCTGTTTTGGTTCAGACTTTGAATAATAATAATATCCTGTTTCATTCATTTGTTTTCTACCTGTCTGATTACTTTGCTGCCAAACGTGATTGCACAATGAAAATTGGAACGAGATCAGCTTATACCCATCTCTTCTGTCTTCATACCTACTGATTTTATATACTAGTAGTATACAAGCTAACGGATCATTATTTCATTCCCAATGACGTTGTTATTGCATTCATTGTCTTATTTTCTCGCTGTTATTTCAATCTATTTTTTGTGTAATCCGGTTGATTCAATGTTCATCAGGACGGCCTGACCACACATAGTTACATAACACCACATATTCTCTACCAACACTTTGCAGGAGTTCATTGAAATTTTAAATTAGTGCTCGAACAGAATCGATTAGTAGTAAAATAATGGACATTCATTAAAAGCGAAATATTTGATGGCCTGAACTTAATTTGCAAAATTTCAGTGGCTTGTGATCTGCTCTTGGATTATATATTGTTGTTTCCTTCACTCATTTCCGAACACCTTGATTGGTTTCTAACATCATTAAGCTGAATAAATAAGGTGAATGAGGTAGTTTTCATTGAACGTGAAACACCCTTCTTTTCATTGTTGATTCAATATTCCCTTTATAGAGGAAGAGAGATATGCCTATTTATCTCAATTTTTGGCGGTTATCTTTCAAGATTTCGCGGTAGAAGTTATCCCACATTTTAGGTCCATTCTTCTACCTCCTGCAGAAGTCGATTTAAGTGCTATCGTGACTTTCAACTTGGGGATGCATAAGGGACAATGATCTGAGGTCATTGCCACTTCAGGTTTTCAATTAATCGCTCAATTCGATTAATTCACTCCAGTTACCAATGTCAAGCCCTGATGTCCTCTCAGATTGGAATGAACCTAGTATTCCACTTTATTAATTGTTCAGTTTGATTAATTTAGGTAGAATATACTTGAATGTGTGGGTAGATCGTATCATTTCCAATGCTTCTTTTTCGTTTTGTCTAAATTTTTCAAGCCCCGATTTCTTGCTGTGAGGAGTGAGAATGCGAGTGGGCCTTTCTCTATTCATAATTAAACTTGTATTTAGTGAGTTTTCTCTTATCTAATATCAATAATCCGTGGGTTCATCACTTTCTTATTGCCATTTTCTTAAACAGTGCTTAAGAAGTATTCTGTTTCTAATTTCAGGCAAATGCATATTTTTTGTACGTGTCTTGACGTTAACAAGTGGTAGAAACGACAGGGGGTTCTATGGAAGAAGGTCCTTAATTATTGGTTTGGATGAATCCAAAGGGCCATAAATTTGATTTTAACTAGAGAAATGTAGTGTGATCTTGAGATTATTGAATGCCTCCAGGTCGAATAGTACTGATTCAGCTAGTTGACGACGATGAGGGAGTGTTGGAGCCTGTTAAGCTTTATTTTATTAATTTCAAGAGGAGTGTACCTATTATAGTTTTTTTTGGGATGGCGATATTCTCCGTGCAATGGCGAAAATCCGGTTCATATCGAGTTCCCACTTTTGACTGGTCGCTCGTTGTTTTCTCTAAGAATGTGACCACTAGAGAGAAAAATGTTGTTTGTTCAAAATTTTCGGAAAAGATGAATCACTTTAAAGTTTTTCGATAGCAAGAGAATCTCAGATGTCGAGACAAAAGCCGTATGGGTGAGATAACTCACAACAGCTATTTGGCCTTATTCTTTTTAAAGTAAATGGTGAAAGAATTAGTGTTGTAGTGATCTAAAGTTAAGATGAATAGGGTTTAAGGTATTGACGATGCGATTAATAGTATAAATAAAACTAAGCATTATTTCCTCGATTTACTTCCAAGAAAGGTATTGATTTCTTTGAATTATTGATTGACGATACACGCCCCCTCCCCCCTACTATCCGCTATATATATTTTTTTGATTTACATGGGATTGGATTTCTGTTGTTGGTCAATTTCTTTCCTCTGTTCCCACTGTGGTGTACATGCGTGTGTTATAATCGTGGTGCTTCTGTTGTGCTCTAGCTGAGTTCTTTCAACCCCCCCCCCCTCCCTCCCTCTTCCCTCCTCCTCTCCAACTGAAGGCTTTCTCTGTGCTTCTTTTTTAGGTAATATTTAGCCAATCGACTGAGACTCTTGATCGTCAGCTAAGTTTGCACTCGAGTAGTGAGACAACCTCAATCAACGATGCTAGCAATCCAGGTGGGTGAAACGCCAATTCAACTCCTTTTACCTTATGTTTAATTTTCCATTATACGCTCACTTATGGCATATAGTGCATAATGTAATATGCTTCATCACTAACACGACGATGGGTAGCAACTTACCCAATCTAGCCTCACTATAGCCAGGGCGGGTCATAATAGTAGGTTAATCTGAGTTGACATTGAACTGGGCGAAAGGTGCTCTCCGTTATCCTTTCCTTGGGGACGACCTCACTCCCATGAGCGAGCATGCAGGAGTAGAAACCAAAGTGTGCATTATCCGAGTCATGAACCTTTTTTCCCCCAATCTGTCTTTTTGCCCAGCACTTTGAAAATTTTATTTTGCCCATGGACTTAGCTGAATGTTAGATGGACTCACTAGTTTGCAGGCATCTTGTTTTATCCTCGTCACTTTTCACCAACAAATTTGGGTTAAGGCTGTCAACTAAATTTGTGCTTTAAGAAGCTGAATTTGCGACCTCTGAATTTTGAATGCTCGCGTTAGCTGCCTAGAAATCAATCCAGCAATTTCAATACTTTTCAAGTAAATATTATGCGATCCTGAGCTGAGATTTACCCCATTAAAGTGTCTAAACTTCGTGATTTCTCGCAATTCCTTAATGATATTGCGGTAGAATAAAGACTGGCTAGGGAGCCGTTTATCCTGCGCTAGATGATTTGAAAAATAAAACGAAGCTGATAGCTGATAGATTAGACCCAAAATCACTTAACTAGCAGGACCGTAGGCAAACGAATTGGATGTAGATTGAGAGAAAAGATGCCTGTTTGGGGGTGGGGGTGGGGGGGGGGCGGGTAGAGCCATGCCTCTATGAGAGTCGTGATCAATAAGCGGCTTCTAGTTAATTAATGAAGTAATGTTGTAGGAAATAGGCGGTTTTTGTACATAAGAAAAAAATTCCCCCTTTCTTTCACCTAGATTTACGAAGATTTTTTTACCTGTTCTGCACCGATGATTTTATAAATTTTTTCCACTCTTTGTAATTAACTCGGTCGCTAATCCACTCACTTTCGTTTCTTTCATTAGATGATGCCAACTTTGACGATACTAGTAGTGACGAACGTGCTGCTGTGTTCCACGATTTGGATACTTACTTAGATGCCCAACTGATGAACATTAACTTCCTCGATTTACCGGATCAAAATTGGGTAAGTGACGAAGGCATAATTACCCTTGAAGCTCACGGAGTAAAAAGCATCGACTCTTCATATGTGTTATACATCATGCTGTTCGTACTTGAACTCTTAATCACGTTTGATGCACCAATCTCTTAATGTTGCAATTCCGAATATGTAGCAGGATGCAACAGTCTCTTCCACGTATGATGTTCAAGAGCCAGGAAGAATCACATGCTTGTTGAATAAATCTAATTACATGAGGTGGAGGAGATAAAATTAATAGGCATGGCAATTCAGAGGGAAGGGGAAAAGGCGCTAATGCTGATCCCGAAGTCGGATACATTTGAGGGGATTGTCTTTTGTTTTCTCACATTTTAAATTGTTGTGCAAGTGCAGGACTGACGAACCTATGAGTCATAGTCTGCGCTCTACATTTTCTCATCTCTAACATAACCTTGCATTTCATTTTATATAGTGGCCATCGCAACACAAGAACTATTATTTAATAAGCGCCATAATGGGATCTTTACATTTTACCTTTCACTTTAATAGGAGGATCAAAGAAGATGTCCACGATGGGGAGTACGAGGCCATTCTATTACCTCACATAGTGAATTCCACGAAGACGGTGATGATACTCAACATCACCAGCAACAACCTCAAGAACAGTTAGCAAAACACTTCCAAAATCCTTCGGGCGATATTGCCACCTCCAGCACTGTCGATAATTTTGCCAACATTCCATTCCAACGCGGTGAAGATGAGAACCTCATTGTAGATGAAGATCTGGTGGCCAACAATTTTGAGGATGTCCTGGACGCAAATACTGCTACTAACGGAGCTGATTTCCTCTCCTACTCTGAATCTCATCGTATTCCTCCGCAGCGCCAATCACAATTATCTATTCAACTTTCTACTGCTTCTTCTGTCAATTCTGCCTCATTTGCTGCACCACCGCCTCCACAATCAAGGTCATGGCAGTCCAAAGATGATAGCTCCTTGAAATGGCTTCCTGATATTACCTCTATTGTTCCCCCTGTGGAATCACCTCCACGTTAGTTTTATGGTTCTCTCCTTTAGCTGTCTTTAAACACCCCGTCTCACTCTTTTGTCTTGGGTTTAATAGAATCCAGGAAGCGTACTCTTTCGATGCAACCTCCGATAGTGTGTTCACGACGACGTCGAAAAAATTTAGCCTCCCTGGGAGGTTCTTTGGATTTTCTTCCTTCTCAACTTCATCCATTATCCGTGCTTAAACGTAAAATATCTGCCCCTCAACAGCAGAATTCAGTTGCCAGTGGATCAACGCGGAGGATTAACACTCAAAACTCGTCTTCCACGGTCTCTTCGGTGTCATCTGCCTCATTCAAGGTTAAAGAAGCACCCCAGCTCCAACCTCCTGCCAAACCTGTTCGTCGTAAGCACAGACCGTCGAGACAGAGTCTTGAACTAACTACTCTTGATGAACCCCCGGCTGTACCTCTTCGGCTCTCCGCTAGTAGTACGGCAATTTCGAAGACGCCGGTATCTTTGAAGACGTCTTTTTATGAACTTGATTTAACGCCTGTGAGTTAGTACTGATTGTATTATTTTTTCAATTGTAATAATGTATGTCTCCCAAATGTTTCTTTTAGATCGTTAATATTAAGGTACTCTACGGCAATTTAAATTAAGATTCAGTTCATGGTGTTTGGGGCTTTTACTAGCTGACCCCTCAACTGGAGCGAATTTTAATTATTTTCCTAAGAGTCTTTTAGACTTGCTTAAATCTTGTGTGAATGATATTTGGACATGTTACGTTTCAATAATTCAGGCCACTCTACTCTAAACTTTTCTGTCGACTGGACTATTTTTTCTAGTTCTTCTTGGTAAATAATGACTAAAAGGCGCTTTAAGGTATCCGAACTTGAGACTTCGTATTATAATTATATGGAGAGGCTTTCGAATGCTTCGAATTTGTGAATTTTGTGAATTCGTTGTATTATGCCAACTTCTTACGATTTAGACACCCGCCGAGACAGCTTGGATAGCATGCCAACGTCATTTGAAGACTCTTCAACACGCTTCATCATCATCTGGAATAGTTAGTCGAGGTGAGATGACAAGTGGTCAGCGAGATCGATTGAGACTTCTGTTGACGGGCTTGCGTAGTGTCTTCGCGGGAATGCTTCAAAGAACTACAAAGGGAGCTGTAGAAATGGCAACCCTAGCCTTCTCACGATGTCCTCCAAGTAGTGATCTTGATCCGGAAATCCGAATTTCGTACCTAGGTCAGTTCAGTGCTAGAATCATTCTTTGCTATTAAGTGATTTACTTCGATTGGCTTACTTATTATTGATCACTGAGATGATAGGAGCAGACCACACTTTTTTAAGTTAGGTTCTAATTTAGTTATTCCCAGTTGACCGATTTAAGTTGCTCATTTTTCACTCGTGAAGTTGTTCCTGTTTCTAGAGTACAAGCTTTACGTTTGTGTTGCTGCCTCTAACCCTACTTTTCCTCTTGGATTTTGTTGCCTCCTTAATTAATGCGTTAAAAGTCGATAATAAATTATTATATCAAATAACAGGCGTTTTGATTGTTATCATTAGCCCTTTAGTTGACTTCAGTCTTCGCAGAGGGGAAGGAGCACCAAAGTGTAAAAATTTCAAGAGGGAGGGGGGGGGGGGGGGGGGGACAGAAGAGCGTATCAAAGACGAAGGTAGATAAGGTGGAAAAAAGGTGGGATGAGTACTGTGAAGGTAGTCGAATATGACATACAGTGGGGTCATGGTTGTTTGAAGTCAACTGCCAGGTAATAAACTTTTTCGCCGTTTGAGTATACGTTGCCTAGGGTGCACCACGCGGAGGTTTAGCGGACTGCTTTAGCGGAGTATCCGCCATGTAATCTCATGAGGATTTTTAGCCCTGAAACAAATGAAGAAACGAATTCGACCCCTTCAACAATGTTGCAAGGGGATTTTGCGGCTATTAGTGTCACTGCCCTAGTGGAAACTACTTTTTTTCTCTTTGGTTTAGTTTCTGTCCAATCAAACAACAGATTGATAACAAGCAGGCAAATGAATCCTAGAATGATTAAAGAATAAAGTAAAAGAAAAGAAAAAAAATAATATTTATTTCAGCAGATCATATCGAAAAGTTGAGTGGTGAATAGTTGAAAGGAGATGGAGCACTCGAATATCTTTATTTATCGTTTTACTCCCTTAAAAATTTATGTTTACTTTTGGCAAACGTGTTAATCGGTGTTTTCATTTGGCCTTTTTTACTTTTAGTTAAAATCGCTGAGATTGTGCGCGATTTCCTCCCTTCGCTGTTCTTTGCCCTTCATCCCACCAGTGTAAGAGTTGGATTTGCTGCTTCTTTGTTTGCCTAAAAAGCATTTTTTAATTGAATTGTGTGTGTTATGACAATATTTCCTCCCTAAAGGTTTCTGTGCTTAATGACCAAATCGTGAGTCAATGCCTTCACCTCGGCTCAATGTATGAGGAGTGGGAGGAATCTGTCAATCGTCTTTCGTTGGTCAGTTTGTTCCCTTTCCACTTACTTGCTTGACAATTGGCTTATCTAAAACCGCAACCTTTTGCTCCATTTGTAGACATGCGCCCCTGTGGATTCGCCAGATTGGAATCAGGTTCATTATCATATATTTTTACTCGCATTTGTCTCGTTGTTTAACCGTTTATTCTTCTTTTTTTTCAAGCACGAGCGTATATGTCGAGATCTCCAAACCGTGTTGCAGCGTCTAGTCAACTTCTTTTCGTATTCGGCTGATATCCTCTTTAAAGTGGGCAATGACCTCCTTCTCAGTGGGATAACTGATTTTTCTCATAACCTCATTGAACCCCTCTTCAACCAGTTGCGCCAGTATCTTCTCTCCGCTCCACCAAAATCTCATATTGTACGCTTCAAACAATCGTCAATTAGCTGACAATACCCGAAATACTAGCTCTATTTGAGAAGTTTTTATTTATTTCAAATGGCTTGCTTTATGATAGTTATTATTTGCCCTTTAGTTGACTTCGGGCTTGACAGAGGGGAGGAACATCTAAGTCATAAAAGTTGAGTGTGGAGGGGGAGGGGGGAGGGTGAAGAGAAGAGTAATTCATGGATGTAAGAGAGACGGACGCAAAGATAAAGTGAGTACTGTGAATGTAGTGGAATATGACATACATTTGGGTCATTGTTGTTTGATGTCAGAAGTTAACTGCCAGTTAATAGACTACGTTGCTCAGTGTGCACCACATGGAGGTAAGTCTATCGAATACCCTCTATTTGAGAAGTTTATTATTATTATTTCAAATGGCAGGCGTTTTGAATATTTATCATTAGCCATTTAGCTGACTGGGCTTCGCAGAGGGAGGAAATCAAAGTGAGAACAATTCGGGAGGGGGAACAGAAGAGTGATTCACAGATGTAGAGGAGACAGACAGACACAAAGGCGGAGAAAAGGTGAGATGAGTACTGTGAAAGGGTTCGAATATGACATACAGTGGGGTGATGGTAGTTTGAAGTCAGAAGTCAGCTGCCGGTTAATAGACTTTCTTGCCGTATGAGAATACGTTGCCCAGGGTGCACCACGTGGAGGTAAGTCTATCGCACACCCCTCTATTTGAAAAGTTGAATCGGATAAAACTGATACTTTTAACACTTGTTATAAAAAATCCAGATCCAATGCATCTTGACAGCGTTTTCATCTTTTGATATCCTGCTCAGTTGCAATCAATTAAGTTGGCAAGTATTTGGACGATCAAAAAAATAGAATATTAACTATTGTCCTTAAATCGTGTCCAGGATATATCCCCTTTTAATTAATGAATTTAATAATAGTTCTAAACCTTGACTGTGTGCGTCAATCACCTCCCTTCCCTTGACACTTAGTCTTACATAATTGTCAGCTTTGACAATCCCAGATAAAAGCGAATTCAATGTCCGTGGGGGGAGGGGGGGGGGAGTGAACTATTCATAATCGTGTAGATATATCACTTTTACTTATTACAGGAGATTTTGGATGGCATTGACACTTGGAAAGTGCATTGCGGACGACGGCTTATATCGAAAACACCGGACGATAGTGATGTGACGGCAGCCTTAGGAATTTACTCCGAAGCTATGAAATCCAATACTCTGTAGGTTATTTATTTTCGATTTCAAAACGCTTTCATTTCTGTCACCTGGTCATCAAGGTTATTGGAGAGTTGTTAAGTATATTGGGGGCCAATCAGCACATTTCATATCTCATGGAGAAAACCGCCTTGACTAATGAAGCGCAGTGGGCTTAAGGAATTTTGTTATTATGAACACCTGAGGCTTCTGGCGTTTCATCTTTTTAGGTGCATATATATAATTATTTTATTGTTTATCATTTTGGTAAAGAATGACATTTTGATAGGTGATGGCTTTATTCACATTTATTCCACTGTGTGGCCAATAGAAAAGAGATGTGCTGGGCTCTGTATTGAAATTCAAGAGAAAATTGAAAAAAATTACTGTGAGCTATTTAACCATGTTTGGTATGTTGATGTTCGTAGTATTCTGCAGTAAAAACTAACAATGGTAATTTGTCTTTCTAATTTTGCGTATCTTAGCCAAACGGTACTGTTTGAATTATGAGTAAATGGTGCTTATCAATTTATCATATTCGGTCCTCGTTCCAAATGAATATGATTATTACATGGTCTATTGGAATATTGCAATACAATAGCAATTTGAGAAGGTATGGCAAATGATTGACTGGCAATTCTTCGACATTTTGACAATATTGAAGAACTCGTCGAGTTGTCATTTGAAGTACATTAGGAGATGCCCTACCATAGAAAATGCCTATGTAATGTCGATGAAGATAACTAATTTAGTACCTTTCCAACAGTTCAAACTCGTCTATTACTAGACATAAATGATTAAACTAGAATTCAATTGGAATGTTTTACTCATTTCAGAATCTCAATGGATGACATAATGGTCATCCTAGAGGCATGTTGTGACCAACTCTGGCTCGAACGCAAATCTGAATCTGGTAAGCGAGTAAATGTATTTTCGTCTTGGTTCTCTTTGACTTTGTATAGCCTCCTTTATATAATTTCTTCACTTTTAGGTTTTGCGTTGCTATTCGCTCATGGGAGAATTCCAGAAATGAAGGCGTTTGAGCTGCTAACAAGCAATCAATCTATGTCATCATTAGTTTTTACTACAGACAATCTCTTGGAATCGAATGGTCAGAGCGTTCTTTCACCCTCGGAACTTACTGCTAAGTTGCAGAAACTCCTTGAATGTTAAATAAGTCCTCCTTCCCCCCCCCCTCCCCCCTCCTCACCCACTCCCCTCTGATGTAAGAGTATTTGCCTTTTTTGATCCTTTTTTGATGTGATTCGTGGAGTAATTGCTATGATGTCTTGTTCTTCCTTAATCGTATTGCTCAACCAGTTATAAAAAAAATGTTTTCATATCTATGGACTAATTTGATTATTTTGCCAGAATTGATACATTGACAGTATGGGGATGTGGGATAAAACCGTAGCATCTACTTGACTATAGCCTAGAAATTAACTTCATAGCGAAGGTACTGGCTTTTTAACAAAATGAGGAAGATACAGATTTGGTGTCTGCCTACTTTTATTAAAACGGAAATATGCATCGGGGAACGTTATTGCGGATAAGTAACCGAACAAGAACAGCTAAAGCTGATCTTAATGGGCCTGTGATAGGAAGTGCCTTAGGGTGAGTGTTGTTATACAAGTTATTTTTAACAAAATTCTGAGTCTTATAAAACGCTTTCACTAGTCCTCCCACATTATTCCTTATCGCAGTTATAGCTTGTTCAAGTGGTGCACAATGGAGATTATTTTCAAAACGAAACATAGTTTTTACCCACAGTATGACAAAAAATGGCAGTCTTACATTGTGCCGGGAGTCAATGACATGGAATAATTCAAAATCCAATGAAGGGCAACTTGTGCAATATTTGCCAAGTAGGTAGTTCATGTTCGTAAACGCGGGGTTAGCTATTCGTCTCATGGATTTCTCCAAGTGCCTGTCTACAATGCGCAGTGCTTATAAGGTCAGTGTTATTTAATTCAAAAGGGTAGGTTTTGCATGACTATTTTTCTTCTCTTTTAATATTTGATTTGACATGTGATCTCGCGTTGTATTCACAAATCACAGATTTAGCCACGCACTGCAAAGATACTAACCTAAAGAAGTTTTGGCCTAAAAATTTTGGTGATTTTGAACATCCGGAAATTAGAATTACAAAAACGATGGTTTACAGAAACCCTATATTCCCTTTAATTTCCACTTCTCATTTAAATTTTCCATTTAATTTGTGAAGTTTGAAATCAAATATGTTTAGTTTGGAGAGTGCAATTTGTTCTGCAATAACAGAATGCTGAAATAAAATTGAATCAAAATACATTCCTCTTCATGTCCTTTTTTCCACATTTGCTTTTATCTACCTCCTGCTTAACGTTTCATATCACGATGGGAAGGCGACCTTGCGAGACATTGGAACTTACCTCTCCCGAATTTCAATATCAATTTCCAACCTTGAATGGGGGGGGGTCGATTTAGACGCATTTTCTCGTTATCGTGATAAGTAACCTTAATGATATGATTATTATTTGAAATTATGCATTCACCACCTTAATATAGGGAAAAAAATTTTTTCGCTAATTTCTCCTATAGGAGTTAGTTGTGTGAGGCAATGAGAGTGTTTAAGTTAATCTAACTCACCAGCGTTGAAACACTTGATGTACTTTACTGTTCACCTCAAGTGACTTCAAAGATCTGTTATAATTATCGACAACCTGATCTTGTTTGCAAGAAGATACACATGGGTCGCGGTGGCATGATCTGTCAAAAAAAGGCTAGATATCGTGGACTTTTCAAATTCATGAAGTTGGATGCGGCAATTGAAAAAATTTATACATTAAGACATCACAAACGCAACTATGCTCTCACTAGAAAGAAAGAAAATTCTCAGTGCCTAACATCAAAATTTTCTTCTTGCAAGGAACACGGAATTTTGTATTTGTTACGTTTCCCAAATATGATATTACCTAGTTGGGGTGTGCGATAGACTTTCCTCCACGTGGTGCACCCTGGGCAACGTATATTCAGACAGCAAAAAATCTATTAAACGGCAGTTGACTTCTCACTGTGACCTCGTGAAACTAATTACCTTGTCATTTGATTCCAAATAAGTTTTAGGGAGAAAGAGAGTGAGAGTCAGTTTTAGTACGAAATACGTCACAAACATTTATTTATTTATATCAAACATCAGGCGTTTTGATAGTTATCACTATCCCTTTAGCTGTCTTCGAGTTTCAAAGAGCTGAGGAACATAAAAGTAAGAAAATGTCGAGAGGGGAACAGAAGATTGATTTGCAAATGTAAAAGAGATAGACGCAAAAGCAGAGAAAAGGCAAGATGAGTACTATGGAAGTGGTCGAATATGACATACAGTGGGATGATGGTAGTTTGAAGTCAGAAGTCAACTGCCGGTTAATAGACTTTTTTGCCGTATGAATATACGTTGCCCAGGGTGCACCACGTGGAGGTAGATCTATCGTAAACATTGAGACGAGACTTATTTCATCATCGAATACCAGGAGGTTCCGACACTGCTGCAGATGAGCGCATTACCTCGATATATCTGTTATTTTGCTTTCTTTATGCCACAGAAGCCTCGTGGTCACCATTGCAATCCTCCGGTTAACGCAAAATATTTTCTCCATTGTCCTGGATTTTCATTTCTTTATTTGGCCACCGGATTACTCATTCCTCTATATTCACAATGCACTTGACGGAGTGTTTTGCTAACTTGATGTTTGGAATGAGGGGGTGTGCGATAGACTTACTTCCATGTGGTGCACCCTGAGCAACGTATACTCATACGAAAAAAGTCTATTAACTGGCAATTGACTTCAAACTATCATGACACCGCTGTATGTCATATTTGATTACTTTCGCATTACTCGCCTCACCTTTTTTATACCTTTGT